TTTTTTTTTTTTTTTTTTTTTTGAGACAGGGTTTCTCTGTATAGCTTTGGCGCTGTTAGGATTCTGTTCATGTGCAGCTCTGGGTCTTGTCTGGCGCCTTATGTCATCAGCGGGTGACTGCATCCCAGTCTTAAAGCAGGATGTGCACCCCCACACTCTCTCTCTGCGCCTCTCTTCCTGTGTTTCCTCTCTGCCAGGCCTGGCATCCTTTCAGGCGCCTTTCCTGGAACTCACTCTGTAGCCCAGGCTGGCCTCGAACTCATAGAGATCCACCTGCCTCTGCCTCCCAAGTGCTGGGATTAAAGGCATGCTCCACCACCGCCCAGCTATCCCCTTTATTTTTTTTTGAGAGATCTATGTTGCCTAGAATGGTGCCGAGTTTCTGAGCTCAAGTGATCCTCCTGCCTCAGCCTCTCAGTAGCTGGTAGTGTAGGTAAGCATTGTATTGAGTCTTTCTCTGTCCCACCAGCTAGCTCCCAAATAATGACATGGATACTTCTGATTAACTATGAAAGCTCGGCCTTAGCTTAGGCTTGTCTCAGCTAGCCCTTAAAACTTAAATGAACCCATATTTTTTAAATCTACATGTGTGGCTCATTACCTCATCTCTCCATACATGCTGCTTCCTCTAAGTCTGGCTGGTGACTCTGCCTTCTTTTTCCCAGAGTTTACTCTCTGCCTGGAAGTCCTGTCTATACCTCCTGCCTGGCTATTGGCCATTCAGCTTTTTAATTACACCAGTCACAGCAGTACAGCTTCACACAGTGTACAAATATCCCACCACAGAGCATCACATTCTCCAGTTCATGGAACCTCTTCATGAGCTCCAGTTTGTCCTGGAATACCACCTTGCATTCTGTGTCCAACACCCCAGTCTGGCCTGTATATGTGACATCTGACTTCCTTGGGGATATGGCCTCCCACAGACTGAAGCCTGGCTTTGGAGAAGGACAGTGGTCCAGCCTCAGTCCAGCACTGATGAACTGTGTGCTAAAGAGACTTGATCACAGGGGCTGTGGTGAATGAGCATGGACAAGAGTGACTCAGGGAATCCTGGTCTCCATGAAGTGTCCCTAGTGTTCACTGCAGGGCTGTGGTCCCAGGGCCCAGCCCTGAAAACTGCTCTCTTGTCAGCTCCTCACACTGCAGCCTAAATCACTGGAGTTACCCTCTGTCCATTTAATCCTAATCCCCTTTCCAGTCACTCTTTAGTGGTGAGAAACTATCAGGTGTCTGGTCCGGCCTGGCCACACCCCACCTCCTATGCGAGTGTGCTGGGCACAGCAGGCCAGATACAATTTCATGCATTATTTAGGGCTCATTCACAGGGTATTTTGGGAGCATGGCTTTGTGAAGCTCTGGGAGCCTGGCTGAATCTTATGCAACTGCTTCAGTCTGGGGCACCGGAGGGATTGCTTCCTGTAGCAGATGGCACCAAGCTGGGAAGAGAAAGTTTGCTGGGGAAGTGGGTGAAACTGGACTTAGGATCTGGGCAGGACAGAGGGGTGAAGCGGGAAGAGAGGGACTGACAGGGGGGAGGGAGGATGAGAGGGAGGGCACATGGGGCCTGAGGAGGGTGGGGTGGAGTGAACCCAGAGCTTGTTTTGCTTCTGATGACCCTGCTCCCAAAGCAGCAAGTTTTTCTCTTTCATTTTTTAAAAAAAGAGATTTATTTATTTATTATGTATATAGTGTTCTGCCTGCATATGTCCCTGCAGGCCAGAAGAGGGCACCAGATCTCATTACAGATGGTTGTGAGCCACCATGTGGTTGCTGGGAACTGAACTCAGGACCTCTGGAAGAGCAGCCAGTGCTCTTAACCCCTGAGCCATCTCTCCAGCCCCCAAGATTTATTTTTTTAAGCGTGTGTGTGTGTGTGTGTGTGTGTGTGTGTGTGTGTGTGTGTGTGTGTGTGTGTGAATGCAGCTGCCCTCAGAGTCCAGAAGAGGGTGTTGGATACCTTGGAGCTGGAGTTAGAGGCTGTTGTGAGTATTCCGATGTGGGTGCTGGGAATTAAACTCTGATCCTCTGGAACTCTGGAAGAGCTGTGTGCTCTTAACCATTGAGTTACCTTTCCAGCCCCTTGGAGTGGGGTTTCTAAGGAAAGGAAGGGGAAGGAAGGGGTAGCAAATAAAGGTGTGACGTCAGGGTGGCTGTTAAGCTGAGGTTAAGTGGCAGTCAGTTCCCAGCCCAGCTCTGGCTCATAGCTGCTGTTGGCCCCTCCCCTTCTATCCTCTCTCCCCTCTTCCCTCCCTCCCTCCTCAGTTCCCACAACTGAACCTGGGGCCCTACACAGAGGAACACTCTGCCATCAAGTGGCATCCCTGAGCCTCCAAAGACATTTCTTGTCGTACTTTATAGTGTTCAAATGTTCTGTTGGCTCTGTTTACAAAACTTGTCTCAATTATGTCCACTGCTCTGCACATAAAGGAGGCAGCCAAGCCAGGAAGCCACTGTATACTTACCTAGCCACTTCCATACTTCCCTTGCCCTGTTATAGTCTCTCTTCAATGGGTGCTCTATGTGGATGCTAGAGAGAAACCACCTTAGAGGGCAAATTGGCTCAGCTCACGTTTGTAACTAAAACTTCTTATGCTGTGGTTCATAGTGTCCTTGATGTCTGTCACTGCTCTCTGTGGCCAGCAGGGTCTGTCCAAGCTGGTTCTGCTCCTTCACTGGTTCTTTTTTTTTCTTTTTTTTTTTGGTTTTTTGAGACAGGGTTTCTCTGTGTAGCTTTGCACCTTTCCTGGATCTTGCTCTGTAGACCAGGCTGGCCTCGAACTCACAAAGATCCACCTGCCTCTGCCTCCCAAGTGCTAGGATTAAAGGCATGCACCACCACCGCCTGGCCCTTCACTGGTTCTTAAATGTGTAATGCAATCTCATCAGTGCGGCTGTCATTATTACCTGGCACTTTCCGGCTGCACCAGATGGCCAGTTCTTCTCTGATTCAGGACCTTTGCACACACTGCCTTCAACTTACTTGAAATCTTTCTGTCTCAGCCTCCCCCCCCCCATCCCCCTGAGCCTGGCTCACACATGCTGCTCTTTAGAATGAAAGAGGCTTCTTTTGGTCTTCCTCTGGCTAATTTTTTCCTGCTGTTGGGGTCTCAGCTTATGTCTCTGGAGGAGAGATGTGAAACTCCTGACCTCAACTAAACTTTCCCCATGCCCAGAGTTTCTCGGCAGGGTGCCTCCCTTTTCTATTGCTAT